CACATGAGAAGTGTGTCGCACACCAAAGGGTGGGATGGTCTCTGAGGGTGGCGAATGCAGCCTAGGGGTCGAAAACTCCTAAGGGCATCCACACATAGTGACAGGGGAAAACACATGTCATCAAGCTCAATGAGGGTAGGGAACTGGGAGCGAACAGAACCAATGACCCTAACAGATAGACCATCAGGGCGGGTAATGCTCGACTAAGGGGTGACCGCTATGGAGGGTCGACCATGCAAGGAAAAAAGGGAGCCTGGTATACTGGGCACACCTAAATGAAGCATGCGGGGCTGCCTAACTAGAGCGTGAGGGCCGGCGAAGGGTAGAAAGATAATGGGTAAGGAAATCATGCAAATGACTCCTAAGGTGAGGGAAGTCGGAGCTAGATCCGTAAGATGGGAAGCCAGGGCAACGCTACGGTCCCGATGCCTATGCGTATACCAAGGGAGAGCCCAACTCAGAGGAACCCGGCTAAAGGGAGACCATCCCGATGCCTATGCGTATACCAAGGGAGAGCCCAACTCAGAGGAACCCGGCTAAAGGGAGACCATCATGCAACACAAGCAGGGTACTGTACAGGGTAGAGTGGTAAGAGAGTGGCGACGTCTGAAGTAGCCAGAGCTGATCGTGATGAAGTCCATGAAGCTGCCGATGACGTCCACAATGAGAAGTCCGGAATGCCGTCGAGGAAAAGCCGCAGCGTCGACGAGCTGAAGTAGCAAAACTGATGTGGATGGAGTACTGAGAAGTCAAAGACGTGGGAAGGTAAGTTAGAGTCAATCGTCGTATCGAGCATGACGACAACGAGTGCGCTATGGACGCTCAGAAGCATCTGGCTGCTGCTGAAGGTCTGCCTTAGATGGAGCAGGCTCAACTTCAGCGGTCTCCTCAGCCGGAGGAGAAGGAGGAGGGTAAGTGGGCTGAGGAGCAGTGAACCCAGCACGACGAGCATGGTCATAGGCACGCACCAACATGCGAGCGTGCTGCAAGTGCTCGAGGGGCTCCCAGGTAGCCTCCTCATCAGGGTAACCCTTCCTACGTACAAGATACTCGACGTGAGGAGGGTTGTCGTCGGTGACTCGGCGACCAATGATGTCTGAAACGAGGAACTCCTCGTGGCCGTCCACAATGATGGGTGGAGGGCGCTCGTATGGTCGTCCAGCGAAACGCTCAGACGGTCTGCGATAAGGAACGAGACGTAGTAGACATCATGCACACGAGCCTGACGTAGGTAGTCCGGCAGCTTCATACAAAAGCTGATCGGGCGAGATGCCGTATCAGAACCGACGGCCTGGAGAATGCTGCGTGGGCCAAAGAAGCGACGCCGAAACTTGCGAAGCGTATCCGCTTCGAGCTGTAAGTGGCGGGCGTCGATAAGCACATCATCACCGACCTTCAATGGGTGATCCATCCTCGATCGGGTCGCACGTGCTGCCATGGGAGTCTGGGAAGCGGCTATGTGCTCATGTGTGGTCTTCATAATCGACGTAATGTGTGCAACCCAATCATCCAGCGCGGGACAACTCGTGTCAGGGTGCATCTGGGACGGTCGAAGGAAGTCCGCGGGAACACGCGGGTGATAGCCAAGGTCGCAATAGTAAGGCGACATCCCCGTGGCTGGCGAAACGGCGTGGTTGTAGGATATCTCCGCGTGGGCAAGATGGAGATCCCACTGCTGGTCGTCACGAACAATCTTTCGGAGAATATCCCCGAGAGTCCTGTTCGTGATCTCGGTCTGACCATCAGTCTGAGGATGGTAAGACGAGGAGAAGCGGAGCAGAGTGTCGTACACCTCGTGGAGCCGTCGCCAAAATCGGCTGGTAAAGCGCGGGTCACGGTCAGATATGATGCTCAGAGGTAAGCCATGGTCATGCACGACTCAGTCAAATACGATGTCGGCAACCTCACGTGCACTGATGGCATAGCGGCATGGAACAAAGCGTGCACGCTTCGTGAAGCGGTCGACGACGACCAGGATAGCATCATGACCGCGGGGGGTCGGAGGTCAAAGAGGACCGATAAAGTCCATCGAGATGGACTCCCAACGACCCTCAGGGATAGGAAGAGGCTGGAACAAACCATAAGGTAGGTGGTTCACACTGTTAACCTCCTGACAGGTGGGACACTCTGCGACGTAGTCCTTCACAAAGTCCTTGCGCTTCGGCCAGACGTAAAGGCGGCTCACACGAGCCAACATCTTGTGGAAGCCCATATGACAGGCAGTTGCCTGGGCATGGAACTCTGCTACTGCTCGGACACGTAGCTGTCCAGTGGAGGGAACACAAATACGGGGCTCTTTGGTGCCCTGTGAACTGTGCCAGTACACAAGACCATTGTCCCCGAGAGAGTAGTTCGGGACGGTCTTGCCACTCCGAAGGGTCGCGTGGATGTCGCGATAGTCGGGGCAGTGGCGGTACTGAGTGCGAAACTCGTCGATCACCGAGTGGTGGACGGTGCTGATCGAGATGGAAGAGAGTTGGATGTGCTCCTGGTCGTGGTCAGGGCGCCGGGATAGGGCATCTGCGA